CATTTCCGTATTGCGTATCGGGCATTTCAATGCCGTAGTGTAAATAAATTACAGTAACACCGGGCTATAAACAATAGTTCACGTGTGTCATAATGATGTGTCAACACCCGATATCGAGAAATGTGTTATCACACGTACTTCAAAAATAACGATTCCGATACAAAGAAATAAACTGACTCACGGAAAGTTACTGACATGACATGATACCAGACGACTTCAAGAGGTCATATATGAAGCGCATGAAATGCGGACTGATAGGTTTTTGTGTACCGACCTTACATGTGCATATCACGTGCTCACAAACTCGAGGTCGTTACGATTGTGACTGTCGCTGTCGGGCAAATTACGCTGTTAATTACGCTCTGTTGAGTGAATTGTTTTTTATAAATGCAGTACACTGAATCTGTTGAAATATTGTTTTGTAAAAGTATTAAGATCCATATGAAAATGCATGTGTGAGTGCACGTGAGAACGGCGTACTATGCGAAAGCCTTTGGTTACAGGTGCATATGTACCGGACATGTAAATATACCGCTAGAAGGCTGTGGAATGATGTCCACACTTGTACATGATTGGGGGTAATTTAATTGGTTCCATAAAAGAATAATAGATTGTTGTCACATTTAATATCATGATTTTAATTAATTTCCATCATTTTTGATAGTTTTTAAAAGAAAAAAATGTAAAATGTCATTGTGGTAATTGTATCCCTTTGAAAAAAGTTCCGGTTTTTTTCAAGGATGACAACTCTCACCACGATCAAAGTGATTGTAAAATGTAAAATAAATTAACTAATAAGCCATTGTGTATATTTTGTTCAATTTGCCACTATTTTTGTATGAAAGTTCGTGTCCTGTTTGCTTTTAGCTTGTAGCTAATCCCTTTTACTAGCATATGGAGAAATGAGGGCCACTTTTCCTCATGAATATTAATGAAGGGCGGAGCATGTTTGATCACGTGATCATCAAAATTTTTCCGCGCGACCATGGCAACCAACAGAAAAATAATTGTTCCCAGGCTCATTTTAGTTACGATTTTGGCGTATTTTAAGACAACTCTGTAGAAGAAAATTAACCAACTGATCACGTTGAACGATATCTATCAAAGATAATGGGAATGCGAGTTACATAAATTCTTAATATAAGGAAAAATATAGAATATATAGCAAAGTAATTCTCGCACATTCTATACTACCGATGAAGGAGAGCATAAACAATGTGCATTTTGTACTTGTTACGTCTACACTATATACAAATCTTATTTTATTTACATGTCAGAAGACATTTAAGATGTTAGTTGTAAAACATTAACCTACAAAATCATCGGGGTTAACGAGAAATTGGTGTTTTAAAATCAGAAATTTGCGAAAGTTCAAGGGGCCCCCGAAGGGGTAATGTAATTCAATTATCAATTGCACGATTGGTTTTAAACTAAAATTCCAACAAGTGAATCTATAGCCTATAAGTTGTGATCAAACTTGTGTACACAATTAAAAGGTGTGGTATCTTAAAAAAGTTGCATAATTAGAATAAAACAAGACCAAATATGACGATTGCAATCTCATATATATTGCAGTAGTACAGTTAGTATACATGTACGTGATAAAAATATTCTAAAACAATAAGGACAGAATAATCACGGACTGACGGATGTTACTTAATATACTGAGGACTATGTATATTTATATGTAACAGATGAGGGGTGCAATACGTGAACCGGACTGTCCCGGAGAGAAGGATTAAATGTATATGTCTAAGATGATCATTTCGGAGGCTAGGCTTGAATACGAACTCTTTTTCAAATGTTGAATTTTAATATAGTTAGTTGGAAGGACTGATAAATTTACATATTTCATTCAACAATAAGGCAGACGGATTGACTTATTAATTAAAAAATATAACAACATCGATTGCATGTTGCAAGGAAACGCCCACCATTCCAAAGTATGATATTTCAGACCTGGTGTAAGAAAACGCCCACCATTCCAAAGTATGATATTTCAAACCTGGGCCCGTATTCATGAAACCGTTCTCATGCTCAAGCATGGATTCTGTGCTCAACCCAACTTTCTTGTTACTCGCTTAAATCATGTAAAACTATCAAAAAGTCAAATGTAAACATTAAAACAGTAGTTTAAAGCTTCAAGTCTCTTCAAAATGTTTCCAAAGCATTGACAAAACGAGTTTTATTAAGTTACAACAAGAACAAGAAATTAGGCTAGAGCACAAAATCCGTGGTTGAGCATGAGAACGGTTTCAGGTGTAAGGAAACGCTTTCCATTCCAAAGTGTAGTATTTCACACCATTGTAAGGAAATGCCAACCATTTCACAGGCAATGATTTCACATCTGGTCTACAGATACGTCCTCCATTCCAAAGTATGTGATTTCACACCTGATGTTAGGAAATGCTCACCTGATGTAAGTAAACTCACTCCATTCCAAAGTATACGGTTTTTACCTGGTGCAAGAAATTCTTAAAGTGCTGTAACGACCAACAATTTTAAGGAGGCAGCTTTACATGTGTTTGCCACTTGTGTCTGAATGTTTTCCCCTGTGTTTATCTTATCATATTTCCATGCCTTTCAAAGAAAGAAATAAGATTAAACTAAAGGTGTGATATAATAGTGACTGTTTAATTAGAGCATTACATATCATTTTCAATTATGTATTCCGCTGTTATATATTTTTTTAGTTCTGTTTAACTTAATAATGAGCGGGTTTTTCCGTTACTTTTCCTGTTGTTGAATATATCGTTGCATCAAACTAAACGATAAAAGGTATTAACAAATTAACCCTAAAACAATTGATAAACTCAGTCAAAACATTCGGCCTCCTGACTCTTCAAAGCCGAAAGTTAAAGATGGAATTAAGCTACATCCATCTCGCTTCATCGGAGAGGAGGTACCTCTTTTTCTGAGGAAATAAGACGGACGTAACTTGAATCCATCGTTTACCTTCGCCCTTAAAGAAGGTCAGCAGGCCGTTATATGTTGACTGAATATATCAATTGTTTTGTAAATTTGGAAAGTTATTCGTTATTCTGATAAACTATTCACATTCTATTTGCTGAAAACTGTATTTATGATACCTCTCTTTGAATTTTCAGCACTTTAAATGTTAGCGAAGAGCTATTTCAGATTTATTACCAGGCTCATGGACACTCTTATTTCTTTTTATCTTGGTCCTTTTCTAAATGTAAAAAGGCTATTTCTTGTTTATTTGTTAATGTGACTCTTGGCTCTTCGGATAACACTTCGAGTAACTTAGAGTCCATTGTTAAGGATCCTTACAGTACTTTCCCGTCAATATTAATTACACTGTCGTGTAGCTGTGTACGGCAACGGTTATTGTGTGTCGTATCCTGTTTACTCTTCGACTGATTTCAGTAGATTGGTTAATCGAAATTACCTATTTCCATCTTATTACAGTCATTTCCTCTATGATTCAAGATTTTACGCATTATTTCTTGCATTGTAGTATTTCTCAACAAATGCTAAACCCTATGCAACGGTTTGGTTTCACATCAATGTAGAACCGTTGCTATAAACAACTACTTTAAACTAATAAAATTCAACAATGCGTTATTTACTCTATTTGTATCATGATATTTCATAGACAAAACTACAATTAGGAGAAGAAAACAACACCTTACCAATGTACTCTATTGACCATCAGAAATCAGTCGAAGCGTACACAAGAAACGGCTTAAAACAATCGTTGCCGTACACAGCTAAAAGACAGTTATTGCATTAACATTGTTCATACAGAACGCAGAAAGAACTAAATGACTTTATTTTTGTTAATATGAATATGGATTGAACAGAACTGTTTTATAGTCATGCTGGTATCAACGCAAATCAACCACATTATACATTTGCCATGAAAAAACATGACGTTGGACATTTTAAGTACTGGTAACTAATACTGGTAAATAATACTTGTTCTAGTTCCTTAAAAAGTCAAATTTATTCACTGCAATAAATAAATAAATAAATAAAATAGACAGATGAATGAATAAATGAATGAATGAATCCCACATATAAATGTGAACCAATCTTTTAGTTTTGTACAAACACGTACACAGAAACATTTAATCCTAAAATATATTGAATCTACCTTTTTCATCTTGGTTTTGTTTTAGTCAATGTCACGGTCACCTGAAATGACCACGGTATCCCTGACTACGCGGCGATGTTTTCGCGAGGACTTCTGGGGGCTCCAAGCGTAGTTGTACTTGTCTAACGAGTTCAGCCTCGACTGATGTCTCTTAGTAACGAGTGCCCGCCTCACGAACACCTTACATCCAGAGTCTATCACAGACTGTATTTGACCCAGGAGACGTTTCTTTCCTCCATGCAGAAGAGCACTTTCCCAGTCGACATTGTTAGTGTTCCCAGAAACAATCCGTGAATAAAGCACATGGCGTTTTCCTCGAATCTTTGTTTGTACAGCTACTTCATACAAAGCCATTTTGCGTGATCTGCCACTGAACAGTTCTTTACGCTTTAAACAGTTACCTCTGAATTTTGTAATAAAGCCTCGTTTTGAACTCAGTCCAGTGCCGTTTAGTGGAGTATATGCGAGGCGCCATTTCGACCAATCCAAACGACTGCACGTGAAAGAAGAGTGGGTTACCTTCTCTCTGTGTATGGCCTTTTGGTCTCCTCTAGACTTGACACTTTTCTCCTTCTCTCTGTGTATGGCCTTTCGGTCTCCTCTAGACTTGACATTTCTCTCCTTCTCTCTGTGTATGGCCTTTTGGTCTCCTCTAGACTTGACACTTCTCTGCTTCTCTCTGTGTATGGCCTTTTGGTCTCCTCTAGACTTGACATTTCTCTGAAAGTAACAATAGCTAGTTTTTGAATACAGTTTTCAGAGTTTTTAAAAAACTAATTTTCATTTAGGTGACAATTATAGCTCTTTTTCAGATACTTCTTTATTATATTGTTTCAATATGTCACTTGTGATATTTTTAAAAGAAATATAGATTTGAATATATTTGAGGTAGCTTTCCATCTAATGATTCTTTTTTAGGGTTTTGTTACTGTGGTAACGTATTATCATACATGGGAGGATGCTAGTAATGATATGAACGATTCTGCTTTTACGAAAGACAACTACCTTGTTTTGTTTCACAATTTGTCTGTTTGGAATCCTATTTGGTTTTCGTTTTTGTTTTGCTGCTGACGTGGGCACTTTTGTTTTCTTTATTTTCGGACTTGTACTACCAGTAGAAGTAGAAGGCGCGGGTGTATGCTTTGATGAGGCTGTACTGATGTTACTAGCCCCGGATTCATATCTCCGGAGTGTTCCAAACAGACCCTCCAGTTCCCTGTTGATGCCTTTCTGTCCAAATCTGGAACGGACCTCTGCTTCATACTCCTGTGATACAAGGTTAAATCCGTCAGCTAAGTACACAGGAAACAAACGATCAAAGTTCAACTCATAAACAAATTGAAACTGAATTTGACACGTAGATGACAAATAATTAAGGAAACCTGCAATAGCAGGAACCGACTTCATGTTTACAACTTAATATTCTACACAGCACCTTTCTCCGTGTGTACAAACAATAAACGAAGTCACACAAGGATCACAACTACAAAGATCTTTGTTCAATTGTTTTATATTTATATGATGTAGAGCTCCTAAACTCATTATCAGGGTGGTAGATGCACTTGCCCTTTTCTTTGAAATACTGTAATGCATGGAAAGATAGACTTACTTGCCAAATAAAAGCTTTTCCTTAAATGTATTCTATTTTAAGTTTCATCTTCATTTCGGATCTAATTTACATATCATTAGAAATCCGCTTTTACGTGTTTGGCGACATGATGCCATTTTTGTTTTCTGCAGGCTAATGGTCTCACGTCAGACCTATACGTACGAAGAAAAGGTCCTCGCCCCTCTCCCGATAGCAGATAGCCATTAGGAAGTCACAAATGTTGGAGAACTCGCCCAATTTGAGGTAATGTCCTTCTGTGTTTGCGGATATTGTCTTGTAGAAATCCTCGACACCTTCATGATCAAATGCCTGCACTCCATATATCTTTACTCCCTGCAAAAACATTCAGCTTAACATGATATTTCACCGTAGTCTATTGAAGGTTATTGTCAATCATTATGTTAACCCTGGTAGTTATATAACAATCCTCATAATTATTCTCAGAAGCTGTATTGGGCGTGGAGCAAGAGTAGATAGGAGGTTTATCTTATAACAAGATTCCTTGCATTACTTTTGTTTTGGCAAGAATAGTTAAGGTATCGGTTGAGACAACCTTAATATATATATCGTAGTGTTGTATATATTAATTTGCACTGCTTTGTTCCACTCTGATGTAATTACATTTCGTTTTCATATCATTAATTCAATTTCAAACAAATGCAATGCAAAATAAAATATGATAAATAAAAATGAAAACGAACGCTAAATAAGATAATAGAAATGTTGACTAATGTTGAAATCTAGTTTTTCAAGTGTTACGTAACATTCGGGAGTGTATGAGATCATCCCTCCGGACGTAGAGCTCGAATCGTTGCTGTATGATTGATTATATCATCAGATGTCCATACTTACATCGTTGTGAAGACAATTAATCTCCTCTCTCCAGTCAATGTTGTCGACATTCATGTCATACTCCGGCTCGTGCGGGTTTGCGTCTCCAATCATGACCAGGATTTTCTGTGACGCGGGAGTCCACGAGAAGTTTTGTCTAACCATGCGGAGGATAAGTTCGTAACACTCATCTGCGTCACCGCCTCCAGTGCCATCCACACCCTTCACGAAGTTACAGAGGTCAACGACGTCAGTACACAGATCCAGCTCCTTGGTCAAATAGAAAACGTCTTTGTCGCAGTAGTCACCATGCGCTATGACCCCGATTCGTATGCCCGGAATATCCGCTTGGAGGCGCTGTATCATGTCCTGAAGTCTTCCTTGGACCTCTTCGAGTACGGAGGACATGGAACCAGTGGTATCAAAGGAAAACACGATTTCCATGAGGCCTCCAGGGGGAAGTGTTGAATTTCCTGCCGCCATATTTAACTAGATATTTGAATAGAGGAAAGATAATACTATATACATAATGGCAATAAATGCTAAATAACGGCTACGTCATGAACAATGTGGATATATATCTTATTTTAAACGTTTATGGACACTTCATATTATGTAAGGTTCCTTTTCCCATGTAATGTAATTTCCATGTCGTAGTTGATTAAGTGATCCAGTGCCTTCGTTCTGTTGCCTAGTAACTATTTAAAGCAAAGATTTTCTACTGGAGACGAAACACTAGTTAGGAACAACAGCCAAAGCTGCATCAACCGGCGTGACGAACCATTTCGGACCGAGGAGTCGTCTTCCAAATTTCATCAAATATAAGGATAGGATATAGTATAGACGACTCCTACCTACGCCGACAGAACACCGACTTCCGTCGGTGAGATGAAACCCGTAAGGGCGGATTCATGTAGGCGCAAAACCCTTCAACCAACCAATCAGACTGGAGACGCTTCGATCTACGTGGATGAAATGTTAGGGCTGCTTTCATGGCCTTATTTCTACCCATTACATTGAAGCGATTTACTTTAACAAAAGGTTTATTTTGCTGGTGCATTATCTATATTCCCCAGCATGGAAACCAGGTATTGCCTGGGTTGGCGACCTGGATTTAACACCCTGAACGATATATACGTGTCCCCTTGTAGAGGGACTCTCTAGATTTCGCCACACCACAATCTATTTGACTGTCAAACACTTATTCATTTATTCGTCCGTTATTATAAATACATTGTAGAACTAATTATTTTCTACTGCCACGCAGGAGATTCTTCCGTACATAACAACGCCAAACATATTAACAATTATAGTTTGAATTTATATTTACCAATAATAATATATGTAATAACGTTAATATAAATATGTTAATTCGGACAGATATATGAGTATGTTCACGTAAACTCCATGTGTTTATCTATGATGTATGATATACATGGATATGACAGATAAGAGCTGACTACGTTAACAAAAGTATAGTAAGTGCTATATGTTATTGTATCAAAGACTTTCCCACTATTTGCTCGTTGGTTACTAGTTTTCTGGATTTTACGTGCTGCGTTGACATTTTGTAAATGTGTTGGAAACATTTAACATAGCGCCCTATCTTTCTAGAATAAGCCATTCTAAAGCGCTTTACGGTACATAGACATTAATCAATACAACTTTGAGGAATTCGCAGGAGCTGCCTTAACAGGCGCTATCTACATGTACCAGTCCTATGCCACCTGGCTAATATCTCCCTATCTGTGTATGCCTGCGTGTGTGCTGGAGATGTATTATCCCCCGTAGCACCGGTCGTAACGGTTGTGTTTTCGGGGATCATAGTGTTTTTGGTTTTGGTGCCTCGTTAGGTGCTGATGTTGTAAAACGTCCCGACTCTGAGTTTAGATTTTGTCCTTATATGTTAATGCCGTGGTTTATTTCTGTCTATAAACTTACCTGACTCGGCGCGTTCCCGATACCTTGGTAGTATAAATAACGTTTCCTTACTGTATTTACTTAATCAATGAGACGTACTTTTTACGTATCTTAACATATACTTGTTTAAAGTATAAAGATATGTAAAACCAAGGTATACATATAGCATTATAACGGAGAGTGTATCCATGTCTTCAAATCGGCGTATCAGCAATAACACGTGATAAAACATTGTTAGCAATATGGATTTGTACTGTATTCCTTAGTGACGGAAGTAGCTTTCTGCTGTGTAAGCAAAAGACGACGAAATGTAAACAGCTAAGGTTTACGTGTATATTATGTTATACAGATGTTACCGAGGACAGATCCCTCTTCGTAGTGCACCAGCATTTATTAGATTTATGATTTAACTATGGCTGGTCTGTTTATAACCTACCTTGACTGGTTTATAATATGACTCGCCTTGATTCGGCTGCAGTAGAACAGCAGTGTATGCGAGGCATATGTGCCACACCGTCGTCTGGTATCTGTAGATACGGGTAGATAAACACGTTTTGTGCCCTACATGTGAATGAACCTACCACGCAGATCGTATACAAGTCTTGTCATGTTAGAAATATGATTTCATTGTAATTGTAAATAAAAGAGGGGTACCGAATATATTTTTTATAAAGATATTTCGGACTTTTTCCATTCGCTGTATCAAATTGATGTTAACGCTCATCAATCAAAGAATGTCGGCTCGTACTGTTATCTCATTCGTACCTGTTATTATCACATGTAATACTACCTGGCTAATATCGAACAATTATCTTAAACAGAAACATTCGAAGTAACATGCAGCTGAAGTATATATCTGTTGGTATCTTTAAAATAGGCGCAGTATGTTTAACAATATGTCTATGGGATCGGTACAATTTGTTGGTTGTTATTTGTTATGACACGTTTGATCAAAGTAGGATTTTCGACTTGATGGCTCTTTACTTTAGAAAGCTAAAGGCAGCATGACCGCTTGCTCATAATTCAGTTGAAATGTATAAAAACATTTACCGCTTACGACCCTGATTACATGTACCATTTTGTGCACAAATTTGTCATTTCCTTCAGTAAGGTAAAGGCTGATTGTGTAAGAAAACAAAAACAGCTGCTGGCTAACCTTAGAATACACTAAGCACATATCACTTTCAAGGGGAGAACCCTGAATCTAGCTGTTTAAAAGATAAATATACTATTGAGCCGATACGTCCGAGATTCAAGCACAACTTCATTTAATGAGGATAACCCACACCAAGTTAAAAAGGTATGTGTGAAGGTTAAGGGACTGGAAACCGGCCAGGCGCGTGGCTACCATGTAAGTCAATAAGCCCGGGCTTGCACATGATTTTGACAAGTATAGGTTTTCATGACGTTTTTTTTCTCTTGTTGATACTATAAAGTGGAGTTTAAGTTTTGAATATATAGTATAAATATGTAATTCCTCAGATATGATACATTGTTAATAGTTAGTAAAAAAAAATGTAGGAAGTTTAGAAATGTCCATTGCATTAATGGACAGTTCCAGGCGGAACTAAACTGCTCGATTGAGTAAATTGAGAAACTCACGCCCGACGTGCCAAACGTAGGAAAGGACACTTTGGAATCTAAATAAATGACGAAAACTGTCTTCTGGACCCTGCCCAATTACAACACAACAGAATTTTAAAAAATCACGGTGCTTTGTATTTTTTTACTTTGTCAGATTGCGCATAATAATACCTTCTATAATGGACGTATATAAAACTAAACTTTAATTTTCTTCCATGTCCACAAAATGTTTATGAAACCAGAAGACGAAAAGGTGTGGGAGACTGCAAAGCTGGGCATGACGATGATAGTGGGGGCAACCTCGCTTCTCGAAATGCCCAACAAATAACAGGAGCAAGTATAAGGAACCAGTCACAAAGCACAAACAGAAGACGAAACTGTGTGGGAGACTGAGTAAAGGTGACAGTGGGGGGTAACCTCGCTTCCCAATTTACTCGGATCAGATTATGAGAAAGACAAACCCAATTGCATGTTCACTAATGCAGAAGTATCAAATGCATTTATCAAGATTAGGTAAAAACCAGACAATGTATGTATGGAGGGTGTACAAATCAATACAGAGCAAGATTTTTTTCTTGCGGATTAAAACGAGAAAACAGACATCAGGACGTGGGAAATGGCTCCTGAGACGTTCTAAAAAAACAAAAATTTCATGGGGGAACCCAAAGACCCTCCTTACGGAAGGGGGAAGACCCGTACCCTCCCCCTACTTCGAGCCTCGCGCTTCGTGCTTCGAGGGGGCTGCCTTCGGCAACCCCATGTCGGACTTACACATGGTAAAGGGGCTAGCTACGGGCCTGCCGGCCGTGTTTGTAAGGTTTCAATAAAACACCAGGACAGTAACTTGATAAGTAAATAGTTACCTGATTAATATGGTCGATATATTTGTGCTTAATATTTCTACATTTCAGTGTCGAATGAAAACATTTCGATGGGCGTATACAAATCATGCCAAACTATGCGAGCTGTATTAAATTTTCCTGAACCCAAACAACCTAATTTTTCACTTTACATCTATAATGAATGGTATGTGAGGTTCTTAGTAGGTTCATCCTCTGACCGCCACGGGCCACTAGACGCTATGTTAGGGGTCTCTCAAACATAGAGCTTAACTTACGTCTAATGTTAAATGTGACTTTGTACAACACAAACATAATGTCATCAGAAGGATTAATGTTTTTGCTGATGACATTCAAGTTAATATTGATATATATGTAATATGTATTTCTGATGGTTGTTTATGTTATTTGAGGACTGAAACTCAACAAGGGTAAGCCGCCCTGGTGCTTACAACAGTATGTCGTAGTGTGTAACATGATTAATATGTTTGTAGAGAAATGGGTTACATGACCCAATACATGTTCAAATGATCGTGTCAGTCCTTAGATTTACGTTCAAAACAATGAATAACTACTGTTTTTTAACATTTTAAATAAACGGTTTATCAAATGGTGTAACAGCTATCTTGTGGAAAGTAGTGTTTTCTACGGCTACCATAGGCAACAGATGTCACACGGAAGCCTTTTGAGAGTTTCCGTTAGACAATAATTTGATTTGACGACATGATTGTATCAGATAACTCATTAGTATGAAACTCGACCAGTTTCCGATTTGGAAAAAATGGTTCGAGTTTGTAGGTTTGTAGAGACTGCATAAGACAAATACCAGAAATAGCATCTTACAGGGCCTTTATATTTCATGGTTTATTGAGGTTTAGTGGGTAGATCTACATGATTTACTTCCGATATTGATGTCAGTTTATATATATATCTGTATAGTATCGTGTTTTTATGTTGATTTACAATCAGGACGCGATAGATACAAAAAATGTAATAGTAAATAATAAACATCTGCACTTAATCATTTTTTTGGTTTTGTTTCTACACCGTTTATACATCTCGGTCCTGGCGTAAAAACACAATATATTCTGAATTGACATAAAGTAACATTTATACTAAATTCTGTATGCTTTTATCCATTGACGAGAACGCCATTGTTTTTGCATAATATAGGTGATATCGTCACCGTGTAGTCAAAGTTATTGTTGTTTGTCTTTGCAAAACTCATATATCTTGATATACTTGCTTGTGTCAAGGTCATCATTCGACACAACAAATTTATTATCGCACACGGATAATGTTAATGGTTCTCGTAAATCTTCTGATGGTGTCACCAGTTCTCGAACTTTGTTCCCGTCCTGCGAGATTTGAACAACATTGTTTGATGCCCTACCACAGACGTACACATTCCCTTCCCTGTCAACGTCTACCCCGTTTCCGTTCCTCACCAGGCCTACCTTTGCTATTTCTGTGGTTGTACCGTCAGGTGACAGTCGGTACACTGCTGTAGCACCTACCGTGTCACTGTGTAAACTGACAATGACATCACCGCTATTCGGATCGTAAGTAAGGTAGTAAGGACGGGAATTTGGCTGATGCAGAACCCGAACCTTATCATTTTTATTTGTCAAACTGTATATTTTATGTACCGATGATATCCCTGTTGCCATAACATATCGACCCTCTTTATACGTTATTCCATCGCACTGTTTTCCTGTCTTGATGTCAGCATCTGGTACATGTGATAACTTTGACGACTCAATCTTTATTATCGATACGATCTGTTTGTCGCGCATCGCAACCGCAACAGTGTTGTTGTCTACCAAACACAGATCCCATGATGGTCCTTGTAATATCACCTCATCGACTAACTCACCGCTTTCTTTGAACATTTTTACCTTGCTGTTGCCGTTGTCTGTCACTATGATTCGCCCGTTCGACAGGTATACTAGTCCCGATGCTCGACATCTTTTTCTATCAGAACCGGTCTTTATACACAGTTTCCCTACCTCCTTCACCTGAGCTAGAGACAAGGGTGTGATTGACAGAGGATTAACAGGAATATTCCATCTTGTCCGAGTGACATTTAATCTGCCAAGTATCAATGAATTGTTCATCATTTCTTCATCATCGTGATCGAGCTTCAGGTCCACGGTAGTGAATGTATCGGCTAACTGTGCAATAAGGTCTTGGCAGGATTTTATTTCCATACTTCCTCTTTGAAGAAGAGACAACATTTGTATGTCGTCCTTCTGAATGACATCTGCTTCCGACAAAACCTGTGTCGTTTTGATTCCGTTACACATCCGTTCACATTTGTGTAGCATGCCATCAAGTTTTTGTTTCTCTTCCTTGTACGCTATTGTAAGTTCATTGGTCAGGTCAAGTTGTAATTTGTTCAGGCGTTCCTCGAATTTCTGACGTAAATCTGTCATCTGTTTCATTACGAGATCTCGACCGTTACCAAGGTGTTCTGTCTGATTCTTGATATCTTCAGTGAGGTATTCCATGGCCTCTGCTACTTCCTGTAGATTTGTGCGCATGTCCTCTATCATGGAGCTACTCCGAACTTTCTCTCCGTACTCGGACAGCGTGATGACCACGTCACATCTTCTGTGGGTGACAGCTATACACGTGCAGCAGCAAACAGACTGGTGGTCCTCACAGTATAGATCCATTTCCTTCTTATGTTTGGGACAGCTTGTGTAAGTTGGCGCAGTTATCGGAAGGAATTTCTTTCCTGTCGTCACTTCCACAAACGTAAGGTCACCACCGATGATGCCTTGAAGGTCTTTTACCTTATCAAGGCACGTATCACATAAAAACAGTTTGACTCTTTCCACCAAACTTTCGCTGCAATATTCCTCACATCTCTTTTCTTACAAGGATCACACTCGTGTATCAGTGATTTTCTAGCATATCCTCTAGACATTTCAATGATGAAGTTGTTGGTAGGAAATTGCTTGGCCCAGTTTCCTTTTTCCTCCTTGGGGTCCACTGGAATGGTTTCCGCCCTGCACACTGGACAAGGGAATGACACGATGGGAGTATCGGATTCCTTTGTGATGTAGACGTTTAGACATTCCTCACAGAAGGTGTGAAGACATGGCAGTGAGTTCGGGTGTCGGAGTTGTTCCAGACAGACAGGACATTCAGTAAGACGGGGATCGACATCAATATGTGTCTCCGTCAGATCAGAGGAGACAATGGTCGGGGTGTCTGCTGTTTCACCTTCAGACATTTCACCAACTCTATACTGCAAAGAAAAATAAACGGAGTCAGCAAGCTATTCTTATTTATAACCTTAACTAACATACGGACTCTAGGTCAGTCAAAATGGATATTAGGAAGTGCTGTTTGTTACGCCATTTGTCTCGGGTTTCAGGTATCAATAAGATGATGCAATTTATTGCTCGATAGTAATAAACAATGTTTTAAGTAAAATCTCTAGACCGATCTATTTGTAAGAATCGTAGGTAAACAATCAATGTAACACAGCTTGAAGAAAGTCGGAAATCGTTAATTCACTGGCTAATCAAGGAGACGTCTATAAATAGTTCTACATTATGTACACTTGTATACATTTATTTGTGCTCATTTAGGTTTCCAATCACTTATAGCATAACGGAAAGAAAAGTGCTGTGTGCATAAATGTTTGGATGATGGCGGTTTTGTTCTGTGTTACTTTTACTTGAAGCAACCTGCAAACTTTTCACATACATAACCACACCACCTTCCCATTATATATAAATGTTCTGAAGAAACATACAGATTACAATCTACAGTTCATAATTATCTCAACCAATCAGCAAATCAAACGCAACATTCCTAAGCCTATTAAATATCGTGGTGTTTACTCAAAATCTATTTGTGTTTTAAAATGGTCCTGCCACACTTCTAGTGAACAGAAAAGAATTCAGGGAACAAACAAAAACAATTTCACTTCACCAAAAGAGAGTCACATATTTGACATTTAAGTTAAGTCTTGTACGGTCAGCTGACGGGAGACGTTACAACATTAAAGCTATAGTTAATTAGCCATTATGCGATTTTTTACGTAATGTACGAATTACCTAGGTATTGTTTATGTGTTGTTGATCTACTTTCCGTTCGGTAAATTACACTCTGCTCAAAACGTAACGTTGCAGAGTGTAGTTTACAGACTGGAGTAGGTCAAGTTGTGTTTTTAATCATATCGGGCGGATTGCCCTGATAATTTTACATTTTGTCTGCATTGTTTGTTTTACTACTTTGTCTATATATCGATGTAAGTAATGTGTATTCAAGAAACTTTAGTTTGTGTGTATCTCGTGCCTATATGGACCATACTGTCGTTATAACTCACAAGACCCTACATAGGATTGGACATTTTCTGATTGTTTAAATGCACGACATAATCTGGTGATGTGATGGGGATATGGCGGTTCAAGTATAAGTTTCACTTTGCTTGGCCTAACTAAATTATATATAAGTACTTTCCTACTTCGTATTTTATGTGATCAGGACAAAGATTAAAGTAATCTTTCCTGTTACGTGTCTGAAAAATAGGGTAGGCACATTGTAGGTAGGTTAACATTTTATCTTTCAATATTTTTATAATGTTTAAATAGAGTAATGTTCAGCGCTTCCATGAAAAGTTTAAGTCAGGCACACAATTATGGTAGTTTGTGTAACTGAAAATAAACAAATGTCTTGGCCTTATAAAACAGATTGTGAAGTAGAAATAATCTACATGATGTATAAGATCGTAAACGGGCACATCGCTATTCCATCAGCCGAGTACCTTACTCAAGGGGACAGGATAACAAGGGGGACTCACAAATTTCATCAGATCACAACCGTATCAAATCAATACAAATATTCATTTTTCCCTCGTACTATCATCACCTGGAACTCTATACCCACAGATATCGCCCAATCGCCTGATCTAAATTCATTTAAATCAGCAATTACAGGCTTCAACCCTTTTCCTCTATACTAACTTCATGTATACTTTTTGTAAATAGTTTTATCATATACGAAAATACATGTACCATAAAAAATAAGTTTTTAACTGCCACCTCTAGGAACCTCTCACAGTGACAATTGCACTCCATCAAGGAGATCTGTCACTTAATGGAAGATGATGATGATGAATATCTTGTACTAATATTGAATTAGGCTTAATTTGATAAATTGTTTTATGCATGTACAGCTCATTGCGTTTCTGTAAAGTTAACAGGAAGAGTTGTCTCCCTTCTTTCATGTTCTATGATTTAGCAGATATAGTGGACAAGTTACTATTGATCACGAAACAGTCTGTTCTTAATGAACGTATATGCATTTAATGAACATATATAGTATAGTTTTGTATATTATCTACAAAAAAACTTTTCTTTATCAACTTTCGTTTTCGACTAGATCTAGGCAGAGACGTATATATATATAGAGAGAGAGAGATCTAGGCCTATTTTTAGCTAACGCGAACGATCCACTAGATGAAAGCAGAGAGTACTACATTGTACACTGTACATTGTTACTCCTAGATACACTGTACAGTACTACATTGTACATGTATTATACGTCTCTGGTGAAAATTACCGAAAGTAATGTCAAAATATGAACTTTTAAAGAGCGAATTTTATACTACAACTGAAATATGTTCTTATAATGCCGAAAGTATTTATAACACAATATCAAATGTCTTACCTCTAGAGGTATATATCTGGCCATGACTTCCAGGTACTACGTCGAGTGTAAATGAAAATAGATTCCGGTAACAAATTCCGGATAATTGTATGAATTCGGGGAAATATCCGGGAGAATCACACAAACAAAAATTCATATAAATGAGCATTTTGCTACCAGTAATTTGAGCAATAAACTTCACACTTACATTTTGTTAGTTTCATGTACATGTATCAACAATATTTCTAATCTAATTCCGTGTTTTTATTAAATAAATAAATGAAGTGAAATTTCTCCCTGCTAGGCCTAATAGCCGATCCATTTAGGCGACCTTTCATCTGTATGCAACATATTGCAATCTGCTGAAAGCTGTTTCTTACATCAACGGTGATGGTATAGGGATCCCGCCAACATTTACATGTGTGAAAAAAAATCAACTAGAGTTATATCCCTTGTGACCTTCACTTCCTGCAATGGTGGATGATTGACTTTCTGTTTACCGATCCCTTACGCGATGGGTACTGTTCACGCTAAAGTAAGGAACAAGCATATGTGATGTGACTGTGACATCTCAGTTTTTACTCGAGTTTTAATTCGCTGATGTTTAATACTTGTTATGATATTTGTTACATTAATGATTTGTGGCATGGGTTACACAAGTTCAGCTGTTGTGACATTGCAGATCAACATTTTGTTTTTGTTATTTTTGTTTTGTTTTGGGTGGGAGGGGTGGGTGGGTGATTTCGAAAATCCGCTTCCGGGTTCTCCAGCCCGATGCTCTACTGCTGAGCTAAAGGGAAATTCCTTACAGCTGACGTTGGTACGGCAACCTAATCAATGCACTTCTTTTACCCTATTCCCCTCTTTTTTCAAACACCAACCCTGGTTCTTTGACTCCCCGCCAAGTGTTTTCCTACCTTGAATGGGGAGAGTCAACGGCACCAGTTTGTAGTAGGACGTGGAATAGTGATAAAGATAGTGGCGTTGCTGTGGTTCGAGCTGTCAACAGGCGACCCTTGGCCCTGGAATGAAGAATAAAATGAAATATAAAGACATTAAGTTTTTCAAAGCATTAGGAACAAAAATAAGTCCCATTCTCATTCAACATACATGGACACTGGAGGCACAGGTGTCTGCCTCAAATTAATGGGGGATATACTATACACGCTTCGTAATTTTACCATTGAAATCTTTGTTGATTTAATTTTAGGTAATTTATTTTTTGGCTTCGTTTATAGTAAAAAAATTGTTAAATTATTCTCAAAGGTAGAAAATTATCTTCTGCTTTTCCTGATAATATCAATATGATTATCCGTTGTCAAGATTTCTGATCATGATTGGTTATTTGGCAAAACCAATTTTTACGACAAAATTTAGCTTTGTGTCTATGGGAATGATGTCAAAGTATAAACTTTTTGTCGGGATGAAAAGTGATATTTCAACAACTGAGCCATATGATACATTGGATAACTCTCGAACAGGATGTCAAGTTTTATAAACATTGGATGTCAAAGAAGTCCTGAAAAGTTTTTGAAAAGAAGTAAATCAGCAAAAAATCCAATGAAAAATTGACGTAACAAGAAAGACTCACTGTATACGTATCCCCTGGCAGATAACCATTCTGTAATCTAACAAATAATAGTATACAATACAAGTACGCAAAAAATGAGTTAAGTAAGTCCTGATGTCTAACTTGTTGTCATAATGACAAAATGTAACACTGACTTTCTGCTGATCACAACAGTGTTAGAGGTTTACACGGCGAGATACTTTTGACAGGTGCTGCGTCGGCAAAATCATATCTTGTAGTAAAAAGGCTGACCAGCTGAGCCTCTTATGTTATAGGAGTAGGTCATCTGTGGCATCGAATGCATTAGTAACAGGTGATTATAGAATTATCTATTTATAGCTACTTTAAAGACCTCTATAGACTACAAGCGATTAAGGGGATACCATTTTTCATATTTTTTACAAATAGTTAGACATACTAATTAATGTCTGGTATAGTAAATCATATTGTCATACAATGAATTGCAGCAATGTCTCTATTACAATACCTTCAAGTTTGAAACACCATGCTAGGGGTTCACATGAAGATGGATCAGTCCCTGTTAACATGTATAAATAGTGCCTGATTCAGGGCTACATTATTTATGTAATGTCCTGCATAGGTTTTACGTACATGATGATGCATGAAAGTGTGCGTAGCAAGATTTTTGAAATGTTTTAGTCACTGTTTGTATGATAAATATGTTAATCTTTTTAAAATTTAGTTGCAGTGCATCACTAGGGATCTATCGGTGCACATTGTATTTTGGAAACTGACCCCCAAATGTCATGAATCATACATTAAATGTTGCAATCCTTTATTTTTGACTTGTACTCCGTTTTTCGTCAGGAAATAGAAGGCAGCACAGACATGGACAATCCAGCCCCTCGGACCCGAGGATCAATAGACTTCAAAAGACCTGTAAGTCAATTATATGTGTGAATGATTAATATATATCCTGAATCTCTGCCATACTTCTGTTTATCAGGATTTTATAACCAGGGAGAGTCTGTAACCAGGGAAAGTCTATAACCTGGGAAAGTCTATAACCTGGGAAAGTCTATAACCTGGGAAAGTCTATAACCAGGGAAAGTCTATAACCAGGGAAAGTCTATAACCTGGGAAAGTCTATAACCTGGGAAAGTCTATAACCTGGGAAAGTCTATAACCTGGGAAAGTCTATAACCTGGGAAAGTCTATAACCTGGGAAAGTCTATAACCTGGGAAAGTCTATAACCAGGGAAAGTCTATAACCAGGGAAAGTCTATAACCTGGGAAAGTCTATAACCTGGGAAAGTCTATAACCTGGGAAAGTCTATAACCTGGGAAAGTCTATAACCAGGGAAAGTCTATAACCTGGGAAAGTCTATAACCTGGGAAAGTCTATAACCTGGGAAAGTCTATAACCTGGGAAAGTCTATAACCTGGGAAAGTCTATAACCTGGGAGAGTCTATAACCCGGGAAAGTCTATAACCTGGGAAAGTCTATAACCTGGGAAAGTCTATAACCAGGGAAAGTCTATAACCAGGGAAAGTCTATAACCTGGGAGAGTCTATAACCTGGGAAAGTCTATAACCTGGGAAAGTCTATAACCTGGGAAAGTCTATAACCAGGGAAAGTCTATAACCTGGGAGAGTCTATAACCCGGGAAAGTCTATAACCAGGGAAAGTCTATAACCTGGGAACGTTTATAACCAGGGAAAGTCTATAACCTGGAAGAGTCTATAACCAGGGAGAGTCTATAACCTGGGAGAGTCTATAACCTGGAAGAGTCTATAACCAGGGAGAGTCTATAACCTTGGAGAGTCTATAACCTGGGAGAGTCTATAACCAGGGAGAGTCTATAACCTGGGAGAGTCTATAACCAGGGAGAGTCTATAACCTGGGAGAGCCTATAACCTGGAAGAGTCTATAACCAGGGAGAGTCTATAACCTTGGAGTGTCTATAACCTGGGAGAGCCTAGATCTATAACCAGGGAAAGTCTATAAACTGGGAGAGTCGATAACCAGAGAGAGTCTATAACCAGGGACAGTCTTTAACCAGGGAAAGGCTATAACCAGGGAAAGTCTATAACCTTGGAGAGTCTATAACCTGGAAGAGTCTATAACCAGGGAGAGTCTATAACCTGGGAGAGTCTATAACCAGGGAAAGTCTTTAACCAGGGAAAGGCTATAACCAGGGAAAGTCGATAACCTTGGAGAGTCTATAACCAGGGAAAGTCTATAACTTGGAAAGTCTATAACCTGGGAACGTTTATAACCAGGGAAAGTCTATGACTTGGAAAGTCTATAACCAGGGAAAGTCTATAGCCTGGGAGAGTCTACAACCTGGGAGAGTCTATAACCTGGGAGAGTCTATAACCCGGGAAAGTCTATAACCAGGTAAAGTCTATAACCTGGGAGAGTCTATAACCAGGGAAAGTCTATAACCTTGGAGAGTCTATAACCAGGGAAAGTCTAAAAGGCAGCAGGTTGGAGGCCGCATTACACTGCTCTACTAAAACTAGTTTAAGTTACATTAAGGAAAATGACCCTTCCATGCTTTTAAGATAAAAAAATCTTTCCTTAAGTGTGAATACTAACTTAAAAGTATGTATCTTTTTGTTTTATTTTGTTCAAATACTTGCTACTTGAAGACTTTTGAATGCAATTGTATTACACTCAGCAAAAATTCTTATGTATATATTCAACAAGAAAAGTGTCAGCTGTCATCATTTAAGAGCAAAAACAAAAAGAATGATGCTGAATTATATGATAACTGTTCATTGTGGTTATTTGTTGTAAAATTATTCAGTGTAAAGTTTAAGTTTATTCTTATGAAAATGAGCAAACATTTGGTACATCTGTAATGTTTTATGTGTTTTGTTTGATACAGGCCAAGGTACAGAGAGTGTTGATAGAAGGACTGGAGAGAACAAAAGAAGACCTCCTCATTCCCAAGGTCCAGGATACCTTTACTGCAGAAAACTTTGAACAGGTGAACTCGATCTCTGATAATTAAATGTGAAATACTCAAACTATAACTAAACTGAACTGATCAATCTCATTCTGAATTTCTGATATTGCTGTGATGATGGTTACTCTCAGTTAATTTTTGTAGACTAAATTGTAAATTTTTGACTAAATCAGTTCTTAGAATTAGAGGTTTCTATTTTTCCATTTTCGAATTTTAGAAGGTTCGTTGCCTTTCAAAATGGCTTCCAGCTCCGGGTTGGCGCTAAATGTCATCATATGGAGCACAATTTGCCTACAAATGAACCTTGTTTATGTAATTTTTTGTTTTACATACAATAGTAGGGTCATAATCACATGACTACACGGTACATAAAAATATTTAAAAAAAAATAAAAAATCCGACCTACCTACCCTTGTTTTGGTTTTTTTGCCCATGCAACCCTAAACAGACTATATTTTTTTTTGGCCTAATGAGTTATCTTTCTTGGTATGCCAAGGTAACATTTGTTTGATGACTCCTATCAATTGTTCTAGGTGGTGAAGAAATGTGTGGAATCCAAGGCTCAACTCCAGGAGCTGGGTATCTTTAAGACTGTACAAATAACAGTGGACACATGTAAAGGTATATTCACTTTAATTTATTTTGGAGGGAACCTCTCCATTTTGGACCCTAAATAGAGCATTTTCAGTGAAATTGATAAATCATCCTATTTTCTGAGATTTGATGACTTTATCTGGAAGAACATCTCAAAACATGCAATTTAAAAATGTAATTTTTTCTCTAGTGTGTACATAAACACACATTTTATTTATGCTTTTAATTCTAACCACAAGTAATCTCCCTGTGTATTTTTTTAAAAAGTTGGCAAGTATGCCTAATATGTCATAACACCTGTATCTCTGGTACCTACAAATGTCTGTGTATAATAACCTGTATATCCTACCCGTACTGGGTGGCATAACACCTGTATCTCTGGTACCTACATCTGTCTGTGTATAATAACCTGTATATCTTACCTGTACTGGGTGTCATCACACTTCTATCTCTGGTACCTACAACTGTCTGTGTATAATAACCTGTATATCTTACCTGTACTGGGTGTCATCACACCTCTATCTCTGGTACCTACAACTGTCTGTGTATAATAACCTGTATATCTTACCTGTACTGGGTGTCATCACACCTCTATCTCTGGTACCTACAACTGTCTGTGTATAATAACCTGTATATCTTACCTGTACTGGGTGTCATCACACCTCTATCTCTGGTACCTACAACTGTCTGTGTATAATAACCTGTATATCTTACCTGTACTGGGTGTCATCACACCTCTATCTCTGGTACCTACAACTGTCTGTGTATAATAACCTGTATATCTTACCTGTACTGGGTGTCATCACACCTCTATCTCTGGTACCTACAACTGTCTGTGTATAATAACCTGTATATCTTACCTGTACTGGGTGTCATCACACCTCTATATCTGGTACCTACAACTGTCTGTGTATAATAACCTGTATATCTTACCTGTACTGGGTGTCATCACACCTCTATCTCTGGTACCTACAACTGTCTGTGTATAATAACCTGTATATCTTACCTGTACTGGGTGTCATCACACCTCTATATCTGGTACCTACAACTGTCTGTGTATAATAACCTGTATTTCTTACCTGTACTGGGTGTCATCACACTTCTATCTCTGGTACCTACAACTGTCTGTGTATAATAACCTGTATATCTTACCTGTACTGGGTGTCATCACACCTCTATATCTGGTACCTACAACTGTCTGTGTATAATAACGTGTATAATTTACCTGTACTGGGTGTCATCACACCTCTATCTCTGGTACCTACATATGTCTGTGTATAATAACCTGTATATCTTACCTGTACTGGGTGTCATCACACCTCTATCTCTTTTACCCACAACTGTGTGTTTGTCACCAATTGTATTCTTTTCTATACACAGCATTAAACTGTTTGTGTGTGTTATGGGGTTGATTATGCTATGTTTTAGGTCAATTTAAAGGACCCTTCTGTTAAAATAGTGTGTGACTTTTCCCTTTAATATTCCTTATATAAAGAAACAAATTTAAAGAAATTCCTCCCGATGACTGAGATTTCTAGTATTTAGAGTGTTACACTGATTAGCTGAATCTCCTTCTTAATATGTTGATGCTTTTTTCCCAATTACATCCCAGGTCAGTTCCCCAAAACCACCTAATAAACCCTTTGTGTTACACATGTACAAATATGTATTTCTTGAACAATGTATAAAACTGGGATTGTCATGACCTGTATTTCTGACTTGAATGATGTGCAGAACTACTATCTCTGTATGAGGTAGAACTGTACTATATGTAGTACGTGTATGTGTGTGTGATCCTGTCTTATCTGTATCAGTTAAAACAATACAAGTATGTGTCATAACCTGTACATCTGTATTTACATTAGGTACACCTAATATGAGTACATGTACCCACCTTATATGAGTACATGTAAACACCTAATATGAGTACATGTACCCAATTAATATGGAAACATGTACCCACTTAATATAAGTACATGTACCCACTTAATATGAGTACATGTACCCAATTATATGAGTACATGTACCCAATTAATATGAGTACATGTACCCACTTAATATGGAAACATGTACCCACTTAATATGAGTACATGTACCCAATTAATATGAGTACATGTACCCACTTAATATAAGTACATGTACCCACCTAATATGAGTACATGTACCCAATTAATATGAGTACATGTACCCAATTAATATGAGTACATGTACCCAATAAATATAAGTACATGTACCCACTTAATATGAGTACATGTACCCAATTAATATGAATACATGTACCCAATAAATATGAGTACATGTACCCACTTAATATGAGTACATGTACCCACCTAATATGAGTACATGTACTCAAAGTGGCTTTAAACTTGCTTCATAATGTCATGTAAGTTCCTCATTGAAATTATTTGAGGTCTTTCACACATATACATTTGTACATGTATGTTAATTGTTTTGCCAGTCCCTGGTGCCTCTGAAACAGCTTACGATGTAAAGTTCCTAGTGGAGGAGAAGAGATTTGAGGGAGGCATCCACACTTCTGCAGGCAACAATGACGTAGAGTCGGTAAGGCTTAAATTTCCACGACATATTGTTTTTGATGGGAAATTTCCAATAGAGACGGATAGAAGGTGGTTGATATGTTCTCAAGAAGTACGAAACTAAAAGTGTCAGTAAAGCTGTTTTTGATCTTATTCAAGTTTTCAAATGTCGTGGTCAAAGAATGTTGTCAGATATATCTAACAGAGGGTCATAGAGGGACTCTAGTTTCCTGTCACAGGGAGATACTCTGCAGGCTAACATCTGCACCAACAAGAGTGTTTAATATAAAATGACATAACTTGTTTTGTAATTCTTGTAAAATATTGAAGGAGAGCTTATGCCATACCGCAGCGTCCGTCGTCCGTTGTCTGCCCGTCAACTTTTCCTTTAAATGCTACTAGTCCTGAACGGCCAGGTAGATTTTGACTAAATTTAGTCTAGAGTATCCAGGGGACTCAATTTTGTATAAACGGTGTGTGTGGCCCCCCTGGGGGCAGAGGGGTGGGGCCCAATAGGGGAAATAGAGGTAAAACCTTGAAAATCCTGACTACCGTAGGGATTAAGGGATTTTATTCTAATTTGGTCTGGAGCATCCTTGGGCCAAGGGGACTTAATTTTGAATAAATGGTGGGTGTGGCCCCCCTTGGGGCTGAGGGGTGGGGCCTAATAGGGGAAATATAGCAAATTCTTTAAAACCTTCTTCTTCTGTAGGAATGCAAGGATTTGTTCCATATTTGGTCTGAAGCATCCTTGGGTGAAGGGGAACCAATTTTGTATAAACCGCGGTTCTGGCCCACCAGGGGCCTGAGGGGTGGGGCCAAATAGGGGAAACATAGCAAATTATTCTTTAAAATCCCTCTTCTTCTGTAGGAATGAAAGGATTTATTCCATATTTGGTTTGGAGCATCCTTGGGTGGAGGGGAACCAATTTTGTATTAACGATGGGTGTGGCCCCCCCTGGGGGCTGAGGGGTGGGGCCCCATAGGGAAATATAGCAAATTCTTCAATATCCTTCTTCTTCTGTAGGAATGAAAGGATTTGTTCCATATTTGGTCTGAAGCATCCTTGGGTGAAGAGGAATCAATTTTGTATAAACCGTGGGTCTGGCCCCCGAGGGGCCTGAGGGGCGGGGCCCATTAGGGGAAACATAGCAAATTATTCTTTAAAATCCTTCTTCTGTAGGAATGAAAGGATTTAATTTGGTCCATATTTGGTGTGGAGCATCCTTGTGTAAAGAGGAACTAATTTTGTATAAATGGTGGGTGTGCCCCCCCTGGGACCTGAGGGGCAGGGCCCAATAGGGGAAATAGAAGTAAAACTTTCATAATCCTTCTTCTACTGTATGGATTAAGGGATTTTATCCTAATTTAGTCTTGAGCATCCTTGGACAAAAGGGACTCAATTTCGGTTAAACAGCGAGTGTGGCCCCCCTGGGGGCAGAAGGGAGGGGCCCAATAGGGGAAACATAGCATATTCTTCAAATACCTTCTTCTGTACGAATGACAGGATTTTGTCCAAATTTGGTATGAAGCATCATTGGGTGAAGAGGAACCAATTTTGTATAAACGGTGTGTCTAACCCCCCTGGAGGCAGAGAGTCGGGGCCCAATAGGGGAAATAGAGGTAAAACCTTTAAAATCCTTCTTCTACCATAGGGATTAAGGGATTTTATCCTTATTTAGTCTGGAGCATCCTTGGGCCAAGGGGATTCAATTTTGTATAAGCAGTGGGTGTGGTCTCCCAGGGGGCAGAAGGGTGGGGCCCAATAGGAGAAATAGAGGTAAAACCTTTAAAATCCTTCTTCGACCAATCGGGATTAAGGGATTTTATCCATATTTAGTCTGGAGCATCCTTGGACCAAAGGGTTTCAATATCTCAATATCTTTACTTCATACCAATTATTTTAAACATACTCAGGTGAGCGATACAGTCCCTGTGGGCCTCTGTATAACATGAAATCTTTGTTGTGTATAAATATTCTTGGTTTTCGTGGTTGTTTATATTGAACCATGAATACAAGTACAACAAATTTGAATGATATATGTGTCTACTGTTTGTTAATATAGGATATTCACGAAAGCTTGTACCAAGAAACGATCTAAATGGCTTCAAACCACGAAGGAAATTACCCACGAACATTTCGTGGTATACAGTATAGAGCCTTTTACATTCACTGTCCTATCTGTATACTGTAAGTGTAATGTTGTACCCTACAATTCTAAAACTAAACCTTTCTAAAGTAAGATATTTCATGTTGAAATTTATCCATGTTTGATATTTATTTCCAGTCCTTAACTTTGGGTTTGAATAATCTGTTTGGACGAGCTGAGAAATTGACTGCAAAATATGCTCACACAAGAAACTTCAGAAGTAAGAAGAATAACCAGGCCCACATACAGTTCACAAAACCACTCAATGGAAACCCAGATGTCAGGTAAACATTACAGTTAACTAAACCACACAATGGAAACCCAGATGTCAGGTAAACATTACAGTTAACTAAACCACTCACTAGAAAGCCAGATGTCAGGTAAACATTACAGTTAACTAAACCACTCGCTGGAGAGCCAGATGTCAGGTTAACATTACAGTTAACTAAACCACTCAATGGAAACCCAGATGTCAGGTAAATATTACAGTTAAATAAACCACTCACTAGAAAGCCAGATGTCAGGAAAAAAATACTGTTCATTAAAACACTTAACGGAAACCCAGATGTCAGGTAAACGTTACAGTTTCATTAAACCACTCAATGGAAACTCAAATGTCATGTAAATGTCAGGTAAACACTACAATTGATTAAACCACTCACTAGAAACCCAAATGTCAGGTAAACATTGTACTTCATTAAACCACTCAATGTCAGGTAAACATATATAACAGCTCATTCACCACATGATTAGTTTCCTGTAGAGTGACCACATGATGAGTTACCTGCAGAATGACCCTATGTTGAGTTACCTGTAGAATGACCCTATGATGAGTTACCTGTAGAATGACCACATGTTGAGTTACCTGCAGAATGACCCTATGATGAGTTACCTGCAGAATGACCCTATGATGAGTTAGCTGTAGAATGACCCTATGATGAGTTAGCTGTAGAATGACCCTATGATGAGTTACCTGTAGAACAACACTATGTTGAGTTACCTGTAGAATGACGCCACGATGAGTTTCCTGTAGAACAACCCTATGTTGAGTTACCTGTAGATTGACCCTATGTTGAGTTACCTGCAGAATTACCCTATGATGAGTTACCTGTAGAATGACCCTATGATGAGTTACCTGTAGAACAACACTATGTTGAGTTACCTGTAGAATGACCCTATGTTGAGTTACCTGTAGAATGACGCCACGATGAGTTACCTGTAGAACAACCCTATGTTGAGTTACCTGTAGATTGACCCTATGTTGAGTTACCTGCAGAATGACCCTATGATGAGTTACCTGTAGAATGACCCTATGTTGAGTTACCTGTAGAATGACGCCACGATGAGTTACCTGTAGAACAACCCTATGTTGAGTTACCTGTAGAATGACCCTATGTTGAGTTACCTGTAGAATGACGCCACGATGAGTTACCTGTAGAACAACCCTATGATGAGTTACCTGTAGAGGTACCACATGACTTACCTGTATTTTGACTTTAATACTTAGATTGATCGTGGGAGGGTACAACACTAACACAGATGTCCCTCTCAGTGGCTACAAGGAGGCCAGTAAAGGAATCCTGACGGCATTCACAGTAAGTGTCTAGATAGCTTTAGATGATAGGCTTCGTTAACAACAAGAACTATACACATGTATGTTGTACATTTATTTCACTGGTTTTAAGTGCTATCACAGTGAAAACACGGATTTTTGTTTATATTGTAATTGCATTTTTAATTTGACCAAATGGTCATGGTAGATTTTGAAATTAAACACATTATTTGGAAATATGAATCAGCAAAAGGGAAAATCAAGGGTGACTGGAAATGAAACTGTCCAAATGTTCACAGATCTGTTGATGTACAAATTACCACAGGCAACTTTGAAGTAAGACATGGCTTGCGGTAACCCGTTTCTGAAATGTTGTACCCTGTACTGTGTTTGTGTAGTTCCCGTCCACGCTGGGCTCTCACATTGTACAATGGGACGGAGTATGGAGGGATCTAAGAGCCCTAACCAGAACCACACCCTTCCCCATCAGAGAGCAGGCGGGCCACACACTCAAGTCTAGTGTACATGTAAGTTGGAACAAATCTATTGCACAAGTAAAACAGAAAACCACCAAATGTAGTATACAAAGTGAGATAGGACATTCTGAAGTTTAGAGTACAGACGTCTACCAGTCGTACATAACAACTTCTATTTTACCCTATCGTCATCCTCGATACTTCAGGGGCTACGCTCACTTACACCTTCTGCATCCCTGCAATATGTCATGGCAAAGTTGAAGCTATATGGCTAACTATTTGATTGGTCTCAGGTTAAAAAAAAGACCAATTGCTATAGGCTGATGCCTGTCCTTTGAGGATTATAGAGGAGTGACGCCCGACTTCCATCAAATGATCAATCAATGGTGCACACTGAGCCTTCGATTTTGTTATGACATATTCCAGAGGTGTATAGAGTGTAGCGTAACCCCTGGAGTATCGAGGATACAAACGCCTTCTTTACTATAGGTTTAAACATTGTACTAATTGTTTCACTGTTCATTACTGGTACTTTTTTTAATCTCTGCTCAATGCTGGCTACAGTTTGAAGAACAATCCTTAATTTAAGAAGAAATAATTAAAAAAAAGAATATCCATAGAAACAGTGTTACTGAAGTTATGGAAAATTTAGCAGGATTTTTTTCCCTATTTTCAGTACTGTATTGCTTTCCTTTGGAAAAACTAAACATGAATTATAAGAAGCCCATCATTATCTCTGATTATGTTATCAGTGATTGGTGGGGGCGCGCACATTTAAATTAATTCTCCTTTAACATCAATTACCCAACACTGACTGTGTGACGGGTGCTTTGTATCAGTTTGCTGTTACCTTGTTCTGTAGTTAAATATTATTGGGGGAATATTTGTGAAATCATGGTCTGGAATTTTGCAAATTGTTTGTCTGTTCCTTTGCAGCACACACTCACAGCCGACACGAGGGATGATAAGATACTTCCACATACTGGGTACCTGTTAAAAGCTGTTCAGGTATGACAAACAAATTTCATCAAAAAAATGGAAGAAAGTTGTCATTTTTCATGTGAGTTGATTCAGACACGAGTCTTTTGTTGTAAATGTTATTGTTCATTGTAATTCATCAGATATGGTTCTGAAATGTCAAATCTATATATCTATAATCTATATAAATCTATATATCTATAATCTATATAAATCTATATATATATCTATAATCTATATCTATAATCTATGTATCTATAATCTATATAAATCTATATATATATCTATAATCTATAATCTATATATCTATAATCTATGTATCTATAATCTATAATCTATAATCTATGTATCTATATATCTATAATCTATATATCTATAATCTATATAAATCTATAATCTATATATCATAATCTATATATATCTATAATCTATATATCTATAATCTATATATCTATAATCTATGTATCTATGTATCTATAATCTATATATATCTATAATCTATATATCTATAATCTATATATATCTATAATCTATATATCTATAATCTATATATCTATAATCTATGTATCTATGTATCTATAATCTATATATATCTATAATCTATATATCTATAATCTATATATCTATAATCTATGTATCTATGTATCTATAATCTATATATATCTATAATCTATATATCTATAATCTATATATCTATAATCTATGTATCTATGTATCTATAATCTATATATATCTATAATCTATATATCTATAATCTATATATCTATAATCTATGTATCTATGTATCTATAATCTATATATATCTATAATCTATATATCTATAATCTATATATCTATAATCTATGTATCTATGTATCTATAATCTATATATATCTATAATCTATATATCTATAATCTATATATCTATAATCTATGTATCTATGTATCTATAATCTATATATATCTATAATCTATATATCTATAATCTATATATCTATAATCTATGTATCTATGTATCTATAATCTATATATATCTATAATCTATATATCTGTAATCTATATATATCTATAATCTATATATCTATAATCTATATAAATCTATAATCTATATATCATAATCTATATATATCTATAATCTATATATCTATAATCTATATATCTATAATCTATGTATCTATGTATCTATAATCTATATATATCTATAATCTATATATCTATAATCTATATATCTATAATCTATGTATCTATGTATCTATAATCTATATATATCTATAATCTATATATCTATAATCTATATATATCTATAATCTATATATCTATAATCTATATATCTATAATCTATGTATCTATGTATCTATAATCTATATATATCTATAATCTATATATCTATAATCTATATATATCTATAATCTATATATCTATAATCTATATATCTATAATCTATGTATCTATGTATCTATAATCTATATATATCTATAATCTATATATCTATAATCTATATATCTATAATCTATGTATCTATGTATCTATAATCTATATATATCTATAATCTATATATCTATAATCTATATATCTATAATCTATGTATCTATGTATCTATAATCTATATATATCTATAATCTATATATCTATAATCTATATATCTATAATCTATGTATCTATGTATCTATAATCTATATATATCTATAATCTATATATCTATAATCTATATATCTATAATCTATGTATCTATGTATCTATAATCTATATATATCTATAATCTATATATCTATAATCTATATATCTATAATCTATGTATCTATGTATCTATAATCTATATATATCTATAATCTATATATCTGTAATCTATATATATCTATAATCTATATATCTATAATCTATATATCTATAACCTATGTATCTATAATCCATATAAATCTATACTCTATTTATATCTATAATCTATGCCATCTGTAAATTCAATAGTATACATTTACATGCTATATCTAATTTACTAAATCAGAAATAAATTTCCATAGCTGTAGATTGAGAATAAAAGATCGCAGAATTGTATTACCGGTATACGGTAAATTCCACCAGAGGGTGTAGTATTGGTTATCAGAGCCACGGACGTTCTGACAGAATTGTACACATTAAGATATACATTTCCATATCCACACACTAATTCCATTGTAATGTCACAATGATCCTTCTGTACGTGTGGTCTGTGTTTCTGAAATTGCATATGTTTATTTACTTAAGGAATATGCTGGTCTTGGAGGAAATGTGGAGTTTGTCAAATTAAACAGCGAATTTCAAGTCAATAGAGAAATCTTGCCCCACATAGTAAGTATACTTGTACATAAGTAGGCTTCTACATACCACCAGCGACGTATATACTGTTACTACATACCACCAGCGACGTATATACTGCTAAAGTACTACATACCACCAGCGACATATATACTGCTTCAGTACTACATACCACCAGTGACGTATATACTGCTACAGTACTACATACCACCAGCGACGTATATACTGCTAAAGTACTACATACCACCAGCGACGTATATACTGTCCCTGATACCACAGATGATAAACTAGGAGCTCTAGAACATAGTTTGGTAGTTCTTTGTCCTAAAGACAGTTAGGTCATAGGTGAGAATTCCACAGAGGGTGGGATGGGATTTTCTCCCTTTCTGTGTATGTAAGTTCCACAGAGGATGGGATGCTATTTTCTCCCTTTCTGTGTATGTAAGTTCCACAAAGGGTGGAGTGTAATTTTTTCCCACCTATGTGTATGTAAGTCCCACAGAGGGTGGGATGCTGTTTTCTCCCATCTCTGTGTATGTAAGTTCCACAGAGGGTGGAGTGTAATTTTCACCCACCTATGTGTATGTAAGTTCCACAGAGGGTGGGATGCTGTTTTCTCCCATCTCTGTGTATGTAAGTTCCACAGACGGTGGGATGCTGTTTTCCCCCATCTCTGTGTATGTAAGTTCCACAGAGGGTGGAGTGTAATTTTCACCCACCTATGTGTATGTAAGTTCCACAGAGGGTGGGATGCTATTTTCTCCCTTTCTGTGTATGTAAGTTTCACAGAGGGTGGGATGCGATTTTCTCCCTTTCTGTGTATATAAGTTCCACAGAGGGTGGGTTGCGATTTTCTCACTTTCTGTGTATGTAAGTTCCACAGAGGTTGGAGTATAATTTTCTTCCTTTCTGTCTATGTAAGTTCCACAGAGGATGGGATGCTATTTTCTCCCTTTCTGTGTATGTAAGTTCCACAGAGGGTGGGGTGCTATTTTTATACGACCGTCAAATTTGACAGTAGCATTATGGTATGGCGTTGTCCGGCCGGCCGGCCGGCGTAAACTTTGTTTGTCTGGCAATCTCCTCCTAGATTTTGAGACGGATCTATTTGAAACTTGGTATACATTATAATCATGATATGAAGTTGTGTCTCCCTTAAAAGAATTTTGATTTGACAATTTTTTTCAAAAGTTATTGCCCTTTGTTCATTTCAGTATTTGAGTTTTCTCCGGCAATCTCTTCCTAAATTTTTCAACGGATCTCTTTGAAACTTGGTATACTATTTAATCATGATATGAAGTTGTGTCTCCCTTAAAAGAATTTTGATTCGACAATTTTACCAAAAGTTATTGCCCTTTGTTTATTTCAGTATTTGATTTTTTGATTTTCTCCTGCATTTTTATAGCGTATCAGCTAATCACTCTTAGAATGATGCAGATCTTATTTCAATGTAAGAAAGTACATAACACTATATGGTATTTGACGGGCGTATTTTGTTCCGCCCCGCGGTACTCTTGTCTCCCTTTCTGTGTATGTAAGTTCCACAAAGGGTGGGCTGTTTTCTCCCTTTCTGTGTATGTAAGTTCCACAAAGGGTGGGATGCTATTTTCTCCCTTTATGTGTATGTAAGTCCCACAGAGGGTGGGATGCGATTTTCTCCCTTTCTACACGTGTATGCAAGTTACAGAAAGGGTGGGATGGGATTTTCTCCCTTTCTGTGTGTGTAAGTTCCACAAAGGGTGGGCTGTTTTCTCCCTTTCTATGTATGTAAGTTCCACAGATGATGGGATGCTATTTTCTCCCTTTCTGTGTATGTAAGTTCCACAGATGCTGGGATGCTATTTTCTCCCACCTCTATGTATGTAAGATACACATGTCGAATGTGGAACACCCATATTGGATAACTCTATCCCACATATAGGTGCACCAAATGAACTCGGTTTGAAAACTACATTTTATTTCTAAATTTTAACTAGAGAGTGCCTAAAACACCCCGTTGCGTTCAGAATGTTCAGCACCGTATACCGACTGGTGTTCTGATTTCATTTCCATAGGATATGTGATGTCAATATATTGCTTTCAGTGTTCAGTGGGAGAATATTTACAGCCAAAACACAGTACATGTAAGCATCTGACATCGCCTCATGGAAAGAAATAATTTTTGAACAAACTTGCTGTGAAGCTTTTCCAAATTTCTTTTCTCCTAAGATATCTAGAGCACATACTATATTATTGTTGCTTTTGTTGTCAATTTTTACTACATTTAGGGTATTAAAGAGGTAGGTGAGAAAAAGAGTCTGTCATTACCTACGTAGGTATGTAGATATTCACATACCTACATGTACATATATAGATAATGATAGACTCTATCTGTCTAAGAACACCTTGTTGTTCATTCCATCTGCCAACAGTGCACTGAGGAGTATATCAAATAGGTTAGCTATTATGGTTTCTGTACTGTGTTCAAGCGGTATGAGCCATTAAAAATAAGGACCCTTTACAATTGGAACACCATAACAACCTCCATCACCATACAAATGATATCTACATATCTACACACCTGTCGATCTGTGATTACCTACAAAGGGGATCATACGGCTAGCACTTGAGTTAGAAAGCCAACAGACTCTCCAGATGAAATATACCTGTAGGTGTCTGTCATCCCTTGTATGTATAGAGCTCTCAAGTCATTTCTAGGAGTATGAATAGACACTAATAAAGTTGTTAAAAAATATAATAAAAGAAAATCACCCAAGGGCTAATACATCGAAATATAGACTTTTTCCATTTTGAAATATGATATTGATACTAGAACTAGCAATGGAAACTAAGAACTAGAATGAAATTCAAAATAATATGCAATAGAGCAAATAATCTTAAACTTACATAAGGTATGACTTGCCTAATTAAAACTGACCTAAATTATGACTAACCTTAGTGTAGATTAAGCTATGGCTATCCTGAGTTATGACCTATGTTCAGGCTAACCTTTATTTGTACCCCACTACTTTAAGGTTGTCCAGTTGTCCACAGCCTGTGGTACAATGTGGGGCCTTGGCAGAGACAAGAGGGTAACTGTCAACGACAAATTTTTCTTGGGAGGTCCACTGAGCCTACGCGGCTTCCAGGACAGAGGGGTTGGGCCACAAGTAGAAGGTTTGTTATCTGTTCTGTGTCATCTTTCTCTGATTTGTAAATTTTGATGGAGGAACATTATTATTGATCACAAAATTAAAGTGGTGTATGTTTGAGTTGGGAAAGGAAGAATCTTTGTGTGTAGATATGAAATAAATATGAAATATTACCTGCACAAAATTAAACAACGATACATTATGTATATATTGTATGTAGGTAACGGTATACATTATGTATACGTTGTATGTAGGTAACGGTATACATTATGTATATATTGTATGTAGGTAACGGTATACATTATGTATATATTGTATGAAGGTAATGATATACATTATGTATATATTGTCTGAAGGTAACGATATACATTATGTATATATTGTATGTAGGTAACAGTATACATTATGTATATATTGTGTGTAGGTAACGATATACATTATGTATATATTGTGTGTAGATAACTATACATTATGTATATATTGTATGTAGGTAACGGTATACATTATGTATATATTGTATGTAGGTAACGGTATACATTATGTATATATTGTATGTCAGTAACGATATACATTAGGTATATATTGTATGTAGGTAATGGTATACATTAGGTTTATATTGTAAGTAGGTAACGGTATACATTATGTATATATTGTATGTAGGTAACGGTATACATTAGGTATATATTGTATGTAGGTAATGGTATACATTAGGTATATATTGTAAGTAGGTAACGGTATACATTATGTATATATTGTGTGTAGATAACGGTATACATTAGGTATATATTGTATGTAGGTAATGGTGTACATTAGGTATATATTGTAAGTAGGTAACGGTATACATTATGTATATATTGTAAGTAGGTAACTGTATACATTATGTATATATTGTATGTAGGTAATGGTATACATTATGTATATATTGTATGAATGTAACGATATACATTATGTATATATTGTATGTAGGTAATGGTATACATTAGGTTTATATTGTAAGTAGGTAACAGTATACATTATGTATATATTGTATGTAGGTAACGTTATACATTAGGTATATATTGTATGTAGGTAACGGTATACATTATGTATATTTTGTATGTAGGTAACAGTATACATACAAAATATACATTATGTATATATTGTATGTAGGTAAATGTATACATTATGTATATATTGTATGTAGGTAAAGGTATACATTAGGTATATATTGTATGTAGGTAATGGTATACATTAGGTATATATTGTATGTAGGTAACGGTATACATTATGTATACCGTTACCTACATACAATATATACATAATGTATCCCGTTACCTACATACAATATATACATAATGTATCCCGTTACCTACTTACAATATATACATAATGTATACCGTTACCTCCATACAATATATACATAATGTATACCGTTACCTCCATACAATATATACATAATGTATACCGTTACCTACATACAATATATACCTAATGCATACCGTTACCTACATACAATATATACATAATGTATCCCGTTACCTACATACAATATATACATAATGTATATATTGTATGTAGGTAATGGTATACATTATGTATATATTGTATGAAGGTAACGATATACATTATGTATATATTGTATGTAGGTAACGGTATACATTATGTATATTTTGTATGTAGGTAACAGTATACATTATGTATATATTGTATGTAGGTAACTATACATTATGTATATATTGTGTGTAGGTAACTATATACATTATGTATATATTGTATGTAGGTAACTATACATTATTTATATATTGTATGTAGGTAACGGGATACATTATGTATATATTGTATGTCAGTAACGATATACATTAGGTATATATTGTATGTAGGTAACGGTATACATTATGTATATATTGTATGTAGGTAACGGTATACATTATGTATATATTGTATGTAGGTAATGGTATACATTATGTATATATTGTATGTAGGTAACGCCCTAGGAGCGGATGCCTACTGGCTTTGTGCTGCCCATGTCTACACACCGCTCCCGTTCAAACCAGGCCTCGGAGGATTTGGCAACTTTTTCAGGTCTCATGCTTTTGTGAACATTGGAAATGTTGGTGCTCTTGAATTAGGTAAGAAGCAGTCTGATCGCAAACATGGACATCTGATTATAAACTGACCTTTATGATGCATGGAAAGAACAAAATGTCTGCTTGCAACAAATATGAAAGATAGATTTACCACCCTACAAGGTAAACAATTATATTTCTGAATTTTTTCAAAGGCATAATTTACAAACCAACGTTTTCCTGAATGTTTAATCATGATTATTACTAAAGTTGATTTATTTGCCCCAATACAATGTCGTTTGTGAAAAAAATTGCAGAATCAAAATATTTTCCAAGCATAATTTAAGCTCTTCAAGTGACAATTCCTTACTTACACAACCTGATTTAAAAAATGTTTTCACTTGTCCTTGCATAAGTTTTCGTTTGGCATTTGCTAAATACCTGTTGTTATTTTTTTATTGTTACAGATAAGTCAGTAAAAGAGAATATAGAACAGCTATCTGAGGAGTTCCGTCTGGCCTACGGTGTAGGAGTTGTCCTCAAACTCGGCAACATTGCACGCATGGAACTGAATTACGTTGTCCCTGTGCGAGTCTTCAATGGAGATTGGTAAGTCATCCAAACATCATACTACATTTACTGGATTTATTAGTCGGTGTCCGAGTCACCTGTTAGGCAATGTGTACCTTAAATTATTAGTCATTGCAAATTATTAGTCATTGCAGTCGTTCAAAACTGCCTAGTCTATAACTCAATCATAGTGCTTGAAAAAAGTTACTTTTTAAATTGACAATTTGATGACTGGATAATGGATGATAATGTTTCAGCTTATGAGAAAGTATGTATTTATAAAATAAGTGAATATAAAAAGACTAATTCTGTGTGCAGTTTCTAATCAAAAACGAAGGTTATCAACAAAACGGTCATTTCAGAATTCATTATGACAGTTGCCTCCCTTCCTATGTATCGGAAACATTATTACACTGTCCGTACAATTACAATTAGTTGAACATCTGTTTTTGTGATGATGTAGAATTTAAACCAACTCAAACTCGTACCAATGTAATGGGTTTTGAACGGGTTTTTTAAAGGGATATAATATTACATGTGGAAATATTTCAGGATGGAAGTGTTGATCTGGAAAGTTATGTGAAAGAGCTGCAGTCGGTAAAAGGATAGGCTAGAGGGAGTTGGGTGCATTGTAGGACCTGTATTGGGTAGGATTTGATTGATATTAGAAAACAAATTACAACTGTTACACACTGTTGAGTTCAAACACCAACATTAGCGAAAAGTCGTCATTTGTTTTCTTGATTAATTGATGATAAGCCTCTCCTGCAGATTTACACTGATGATGTACTGTGTTTTATTTTGCAGTGTGAATCCTGGTATACAGTTTGGTGTGGGTGTAACCTTCCTCTGAGGAATTGTCGGTGATATGAATGTGATGTGCCTGCATGTGGACACAAGTATAGTGGAGCATGACAACAGTGGCTGTCAAATGATTTGACAAGTGTCACAGTGCGATAAACAGCCCACTAGAGACTAGAGCCACTGCTCACCAATCTCCCCAACCTGGAGATACTACTACTTAGAACATGTACCTTTTCACAGCCTGATGAAGTTGAATGGTTCAGGCTGTGGTAAAGTGATGCCATAGATTGAGTACTGCGGAACTCTTCTGTGTGTTTTGTAAATCAGTACATGATTAAAGAGTCTATGTTGCACAGTAATGTTACATATTGGGACTGGCACTTTCTGGCTCTGTTAGCTTGATAGATGTCGATTAGTCCAATTTCCCTATTAAAAAGTTTTTATGTATATTACATAGGAATATGCAGGTCTTCGACTTAAGTCCTTGGCATGAAATGTGGCAATATTCAGTTGTGTTTAAATTCATTGGAACTGTAAATCATCAACTGTAAATCATCAACTGTAAATCATCAACTGTAAATCATCAACTGTAAAAGTGGCATTTACGCTTGGAGACATGCAGCAAGATACTAAGATTACATAATGATCCAGTAATATTAATTACAGGATACATATTCGTAGGTGACGTTATTGTGAACTACCATTGAATGTAGTCTGCTGAAGGAGGTAACATTGAGTAAGATGATGGATATGTATATTATTAGGGTGTGGAAATAAAACAAATTTAAGATCTAAATGATATTAAATATGCCAAATTGTGTAAAAAACAACAACAACTTGTTAGGCTTGTAATTTTCGAGTGTAACTAATTTGACTAGTTTTGCAAGTGAAATATATGAAAGCAGAGACATACTGAAAACGTCAATAGACAGATGACTCAGCTACATACATTGTACCAGTAGACACCACTGTTTACCAGTTTGAGATGAATGGGTTTTATTATCTGTTAGACATATGTCTGAAAAAAGAGGATGCTTAAGTGTCAGTTACAGCCTAAAAAAAAAATAAGCAAAAATAGGTACAACGGAAAGATTTACTTGTAGACCATTGAACAAGTACGTGGATGATAAGACCAGATGTTCCGGATGTATAAGCGTCCTCTGTTTCATTGATGACACAGTCCATGTAAATCTAGGTCAAACTCAAGTGATGTCACTTCCGCAAAGTGAGAGTTGTTGTAGAGACAACGAATTATCAAGACACACCTATGAGCATAGTCAAAATCATCGAACTTTATATCGTACTAAGGAATGGCACATTGCCGAAAGAAAACATGATAGCGAACATACAACTTACCCTAGTTGAACCCAGTCCTAAAATATGTCTGGATAGTTAAAGTTCTGACACATGTAGCGTAACACCCAGGTACCCATACAGTTGTAGATACTGTACAAACAGAACAGGGAAAGATAGTTTGGTATTCTGGTAGCAGTGGTGGATCTAGTGGGATTTCAGGGGCTGCTTTCACATTTTTACATTTTCCTCATTTGGAAACCATTTACCAAATTAGTCTCGGAAACAAAATGTGAACAAATGTAGATTTTACATGGAGATCATTGAAAAAGTACAAGAAGAATAAGACCAGGTGTTCGGAAGGGGAAGCGTCTTCTGCTTCATCGACGACACCCGCCACGTAAATCTAGGTTAAATACAAGTAACGTCATATCATCACATCGAGAGTTCGGGTAGTGACAACTAATCCACAAAGCTCAGTAACGAGCATAATAAAAACATCGACCTTCATATCACACAATGAATTAGCATATTTACGATTACATTATGATGGCAACCATTAAACTATAGCTTTCATCAATCTGCATCTTTGGAAAACTTGTAAGTTTATAGAACAGCTTAGTAGTAAGCCGTCCCTGTTGGTCTCGTTGCAAGTAAAGATCGAGGTAAGAAGGTGAAGAAGAGTCTAGTGTCCTTGTGCATGAGGGTAAACACGGTCGATACATTGAAGGACTTTGCTAGGTTTCTATTACCTGTCTTGTTAAGCTTATCAATAACTTAAGCTTCATATGAAAAACAACTTATTTAATTCTGCGTGTTAATGAGTTTAAATTGCGGCACTGTGTTGTGTCGGCCACCAGTCTGACAGAATGCATCTATCCAGAAAAGGAGTTTACTTACAACAGACTGTCCCGAATCAGGTTTGACGTGTAAACCCTATATTAGGCATGGTTGTCTGGCATGTCCATTCTGTTAATGAATGGTAATGATGCAGAAACAAATGCCGGCTTTTTTTCTGGTAGTTTTAGAATTTGTGGTTATTCCAGGACGACATATCAGTACCTAAGTACTCTCTTTGCATAGCACGGATCAGATGACGACTTTTCACTGAAATACCACACCAACGTCATAATATTTCACCCGGTCACATACTGACGATTGGTTAAACAGTTGTTGTGATTACCCTCAATGCTGAACGGTAAGCAGGGGATACTAACTACCATTTTAGGGACTTTGGTATGTCCAGGTATGGGGACTGAACCCGTTGCCTTCCTCACTTAATTGGGCGAACGTTTTGCATTGAAACCAGAAGTGAGGCATTGCCAGGGAAACGCTAGGAAAAAGAAAGTTTGGTAGACAATAGAGAAATAAATATCTCAAATGTTGGAATGGTTGCAGCAGATGTATTGTGATCACCGTGTCTCCAAGTAGAGTGCAGCATATCAAATCCCCATTCCCGCAGACGTCTCCCACAATAGTCGCCTCTTACACCATGCAGTAGGTAACAGCAATGCATTCATTTCCTCCATCTCCGACCTACTTGGGGGTTCTTTGGCCATGCTATACATAATGTGATGACATGGTTATAGATACATACATCCGCTTATGTGTAGCAATATATTTTACAAGGGGCCTGACCTTCATACGTCGGGAACAAGTGAAATGGGCAGACTTTTATAATCAACTAGAAAGACAACACCATAAGGTCAAAATCCGAATCCATGATCGATATGAACATAGAAGAATAGGAACTGCGGATAAAAATAAGGATAATTTTGGTTGACCAAATATAGCACTGGTATGATTTAACGCCGTAGGTTCATCCAAGTCCCAAGCCACTGTCCACCACTTTAAGATTTGGCAGTTTTGTTCTTTCTCCCAGCCCTGATTCTCAGCCATTTTAACAACACATTGGGGGTATACACATGGTATATGTGTCCCTTCTACAAGCCACTGTTTGTCAGCAATGTTAATTACACTTATCCACGAGGTAGGTTGGTCCTTTTCCAAGCCCTGTAATTCGTGGGATATATGTTCATTTGGTTTAGCCATACCCTTCTATATGGAGGCTCGTTTGTGGGAGTATAACTGTAACTGCAGTGTATGAATACAAAGTTTGAGCACTACTGCTACGGTTAAGTGACTAGCAGCGCTTTCATCGACGCTTATTTAATATTATTCTATTCATTTCCATTTTTTTTTAAATTAAAAGCAAATTAATCCGATATGTAAAAACATTTTTGTTTTAAAAACTTTGCTTTATATTTCGATTTGGTGCGGGAACAGGGCGTGACGTCAACTGTTTCTCTGTTGTTCTAGATGGTGGCCTGCCCTAGCCGACAACAACGGGAACAGGGCGTGACGTCAGCTGTTCTTCTGTTACTGTTCTAGATGGTGGCCTGCCCTCGCCGATAACAACGGGGACAGGGCGTGACGTCAGCTGCTCTTCTGTTACTGTTCTAGATAGAGGCCTTCCCTAGCCGATAGCAACGGGAACAGGGCGTGACGTCAACTGTTCTTCTGTTACTGTTCTAGATATTGGCCTGCCCTAGCCGATAACAACGGGAACAGGGCGTGACGTCAGCAGTTTTTCTGTTACTGTTCTAGATGGTGGCCTGCCCTAGCCGATAACAACGGGGACAGGGCGTGACGTCAGCTGTTCTTCTGTTACTGTTCTAGATAGTGGCCTGCCCTATCCGATAACAACGGGAACAGGGCGTGACGTCAACTGTTAAGCTGTTACTGTTCTAGATAGAGGCCTGCCCTAGCCGATAACAACGGGAACAGGGCGTGACGTCAGCTGTTCTTCTGTTATTGTTCTAGATAGTGGCCTGCCCTAGCCGATAACAACTGGAACAGGGCGTGACGTCAACTGTTATGCTGTTGGTGTTCTAGATATTGGCCTGCCCTCGCCGATAACAACGGGGACAGGGCGTGACGTCAGCTGTTCTTATGTTACTGTTCTAGATAGTGGCGTGCCCTATCCGATAACAACGGGAACAGGGCGTGACGTCAACTGTTCCTCTGTTGTTGTTCTAGATGGTGGCCTGCCCTAGCCGATAACAACGGGAACAGGGCGTGACGTCAGCTGTTCTTCTGTTACTGTTCTAGATAGTGGCCTGCCCTAGCCGGTAACAACAGGAACAGGGCGTGAAGTCAACTGTTATGTTGTTGGTGTTCTAGATATTGGCCTGCCCTCGCCGATAACAACGGGGACAGGGCGTGACGTCAGCTGCTCCGTATTGCTGTTGTTCTAGATAGTCACCTGCCCTCGCCGATAACAACGGGAACAGGACGTGACGTCAACTGTTTTCTGTTACTGTTGTTCTAGATATTGGTCTGCCCTCGCCGATAACAACGGGAACAGGACGTGACGTCAGCTGTTCCCCTGTTGGTGTTTTGGATAGAGGCCTGCCCTCGCCGATAACCCCAACGGGAACAGGGCGTGACCTCAGCTGTTCCCCTGTTCTAGATAGTGGCATGCCCTCGCCGATAGCAACGGGAACAGGGCGTGACGTCAGCTGTTCCCCTGTTGGTGTTCTAGATAGAGGCCTGCCCTTGCCGATAACAACGGGGACAGGGCGTGACGTCAGCTGCTCTTCTGTTACCGTTCTAGATAGTGGCCTGCCCTCGCCGATAACAATGGGAACAGGGCGTGACGTCAGCTGTTCCCCTGTTGCTTTTCTAGATAGTGGCCTGCCCTCGCCGATAACAACGGAAACATTTGAATTGTTGGGAGGAAAAATCAATCATAATTGCATTACTTATATAAAAACGAAAATGTAATCAATACACTGCATACACGTTGCAGATCTACTGGTGAAACTTCAGACAAACTGAATATGCGTCAATGTCTCAAGCTACGGTTTATTACTTAGTAACAATGTTAAGTACATATTTCCTTGTGGCTAAATTCGTCCCTTTCCAGGACACTGTTTGCACCAGGGTATGCTCGTTCCTTGTCAAAATCACTGTCTGTTCAACATGTTCAAGTGTAAATGACGTGAACGTTTTTAAGGATTGTTATATTTGCGAAACTCGTATTAACGAAACTAGGTAATGTAGTATATAAGGGTTTACATCTGGCCGGTACGGTCACCGTTAACTAGCGGGCTAACCGTAATGCTTGTTTTAACCAGGTTGGGAACATTCGGCTTTAAATAATTAGCGTCAGAATGTGTCTGCAAAGCGATGTTATATAACTTAAACAAATCTAGCTTGACCCGTACAAAAGTCCGCATACACTGAAATGATATTAACTTTGAATTAACCACCTTCAATAAACTCAAATGTCACCTGGTGAAATGTAGCTTGACTGGGATAAAGTACACGAGCACTTATCTTTGAAGTGAATACTTTTGATCTGTACCTCAATTTGCCATTACCATGTGATTGATGTCTTTCATAACACTTGTGTAAAATAGGGTTGATGATGATAGAATAAACATTGGTATAATTGATTGAGAGTATCTATTATGGTCTGTTGGTGTTGGAGCCAATAACCATGCAATTCTCGTTAAGATAATTAAACCCCAGCAATACTTTCATTAAGATTCCTTAGTTTGCAAATATGTTATATCAACGTTTCAAGACCGACTGGTCCCTTTGTCAGGCTAAGACTGAGTAGGCGATTTGTAGTATTTTCCTGTGAAAAAATTGTAGATTTCATAGGTCACTCGACACAG